CTTTTGCAGCATGACCTTTTTAAGATTGTTTCTGATATCCATTCAATTATTTCTTTTAAATATGCTAGTAAAACTGCCAGGTACTGGAATTTGAGTGCAGATTTCTCATTTCCTTTGTACATAGGCGACTCATTTCATTTTTTTTCTTTTTAAAAATTATTTGTTCCTATTCAAGCTGTTCCATCTATCATTATTATGCTATGCTGCATCTTATCTCATCATGGGAATTTTTATCTATTGGTTTTGGATGCCTGATGTATTCACTGCTTTTTGTTGATGATTTTGTTTCTTGACATATTGTTGACCTGTATAGTGGACCGTCAGTTTAGCCTATGCAAAATCCAGTCTTTTAGGAAGAGGCATTATTCTGGGAAATTAATTTCCAATCCAAGTTAAATGTATTTTCTTTCTCAGATTAAATTGGGGGAACCTGGATATAAGGAAAGGTACTATACTGAGAAATTTGATCTATCAAATCCAGAGGAAATTGATCAAGTTAAAAATGATGTGGTAAGTGGCATTATTTTTCATTTAACAATCTCTGCCTATTTCATTTTCATTATTATGATAGTTTCATGGTCAAAATTGCTTTTCTTTTAATGCTTTTTGGTTTATGTTGCACAAAATATTGTCAAATATTGTGCATATAAAAATTGAGTTTTAATTGCTAAAGTTTTTAAAGTATGAAGGTTTTATTTTTATTTTTAATTTTTATCTTTTATCTTTATCTTTTTCCTTTTCTTTAAATCAGATCTTTATTTTCACAAAGTGAACTGTCAGGATGCTTATGAAAGAAAAAAGAGTGAAATATGTTCAATCTTTGCAGGTGTTGAAATATGTGGAAGGTTTATGTTGGGTTTGCCGCTACTACTACCAGGGTGTATGCTCATGGCAATGGTTGGTTCAATTTTGAATACAAGTTCCTTTTGGCCGTTGGAATTAAAAACCTTAATGAATTTGGGAATAATCTGCTAGACTAAACACGCTTAACCTTTTTTTTCTCTGTTGAGAGGACAGGCTTTTGTCCGTAAACTAATTCCTATACTTTGATCCCCTATTTAAACATGGAAACATTTGGTAGAAGTGAAAATAGGGCTCTGCTTAAACATGGTTTTGAACAAAGCATGTTGTTATCCAGAGCTTGTACAGCTGGCTTAACCTTTAATTCCTTCACTGCAAATGCCTGGCATTGTTCAACTCCTCAAGAAAATAGTAGCATTTTCCAATTGCAAAATGAAAGTCGCGTATGTCTGATGTTTGTTTCAGGTTTTATCCTTATCATTATGCTCCTTTTGCTTCGGATCTTAAAGATCTCTCTGATTTAGAAATAACATTTTTCTTGGGAGAACCATTTAAACCCTTTGATCAGCTAATGGGAACCCTACCAGCTGCAAGGTACTTATTGATTGTTTATTACAATATGCTTTCTCCCCCGTCTGTTTGCTGCTTGGTTATGAAATACTTTGCCAATTTCATATTACAGTGCAAATGCATTGCCAGAAGAATACAGAAAATTGTTGATTAATCCATCCTCGCCTATCTGTAAATTTTATCCTTCTGGTAAGTTTAATTCCTTATTATAAATTGTTATGACTTTTCTTTGTTTCTTTTTCAATATTAAATCTAGTTTCCTTTTTTTGTTTGGATAGATTTTGAAATCGACATGAATGGTAAACGGTTCGCATGGCAGGTCTAGTGTTTACATTAAATTAGTACATTTCCTTGGGTTTTCTGTTTTTTTTACCCTATGACACACTGATGTAATCATCATGTTTCTTTCTGGAAGGCAGGGTGTTGCCAAATTGCCATTCATTGATGAGAAGAAATTGCTAGCTGAGACAAGAAAGCTTGAAGCCACGTTAACGGTCTGTTGCTGTACATAAACTAGTATAAGTAACAGTCAATATGCAATTTTTCTTAAAACAAATAATAATCAATACAACTTGACCTCTTATGCTTTCTTTATATTAATCCATCAAGTAATGGCTACAGACAATTGGTAGCATCATATGTTGATGCTTTTCTTCGCAGAGGAGTCTTTAGTAGTTTCAGACCTATTATAAAGTCATCAACTAATTTTGATTTTTGGTTCTCTGCCCCTTCCATGTCTTTGTTCATCTTCTATTGATTGATTTAATGTTGAAACTTTTAGCATTTAGAGGCTGACTAGATGGTTGTCTGTTAGGGATGCCCTCAAATCTTTGAGATTATTTAGGTTCATCGTAACAAGAATGCTGTGGTCGTCAGCATGTCAAATTTGTTGAATGCTAACTTTGTTGTTACCAATTTGGTGGATGCAGGAGGAAGAGCAGTTTCGGAATAGCGTGATGCTTGATTTGCTATATGTACATGCCGCTCATCCTTTGGCACGTCAGATTAGTGCATACTATGAATTTTTTAATCTAGTACCCCCAGCTCAAAGATATCTTTGGACAATTGACACAAATGTTAGGTTTGTAGTTCTCAAGAGGTTTTTCTTTAATTATTAATTTTATGAAAGTCTCCATTTTTAGACACATGGGCTGTGTTGTGTACTATCGAACTATTTTCAACATTCTGCAGTGGTGGAATGAATGGATATATTTGGTTATGTCAGAGGAATGCACTAAAGAGCATAGTTATATCCCCAATCAATGGATTGCCAAATATAGCTCCTAATCAAGTGTTGTAAGTTCCCTTTGGATATTTTTGTTCTTCAAATGGTTAGAAAGCTTTATTTCATGTTGTACATGTTATTTTGCAGAAATGTTACGTATCTTAATCCCCCTTATCACAAGCATATACCAGAACCTCCAAGGGGAGTGATAATGCCGAAAAAGGTAAATTTTAAATGTCCTTGGGATTTGTTGGTATTATCTGTAGGAAATATGAAAACAAATGGCTTTATCTGATGCAGTCATGTGACTGGTACTATATCCCATGCATTCATCATAGTTATTGAACATTGCATTACTGGAGTTCCTCCTTGAAAGCCTTTAAGGCCTCATTTAGTTACAAAGAGCAGAGTAACATTGGATTCAATAGTGATCGACAAGAATTGCCTTAGTCTGTCAATTTGGATGGTTTACATTTTTGAAGTGAGACTAGAGTATGCTAGTCATTTAGTCACGCATTCTTGGAAGAAGTATGACTGCACTTTTCTTAAGATGCATTTTGAAGTTCAAAATATGATACATCAATATTATTCATGCGTGCAGACATTCACAAAAATCATGATCTTGCATAGTATGGATTCTTCCATTATTTATTTGTATATGTACCTTATATAATTTTAGGTCTCTATTAAAGAGAAAGTATCACATAGATTAATGTAGTTTGGGGAAAACCAAATTAGATTAGGTCACTTTGTTATAAAAAAATAAGTTTTAAGAAGAGCATAAGAAATTAAAGAAAAGAGAGAATAAGATATCCTCCTACAAGAAGGAAAAGGTGAAAAAGAAAATCAGAGAACATGGAATAGATAATTGAATGCTCTTGGTTCCTTTGCAAGCTAGAAAACTGTATATCTAAAAAGTACCTGGGCTTTAATTCATATAGATTCCAAAAACACCACCTTATCCAAATATAAGAGTAAGAATACTGGGTGCGTTTACGGAAATTTCTGGCATTGTGCCCCAG